CCTTGGATATTAAATGCTGGAAATCTCAGTATTCTTGCACGTTATGTTATTCATTTTTTCAAAAAATATAGTTTTGATGGAGAGCATTTCGAGCTCAGAATAAACCATTTTACGTTATGAGCAGTAAAATCATCTAAAGCTAGGATACCATTGAAAGTATCAGATTACAAAGTGGATATGATTACATCTTCAAAATATTCTAAGAAAAAACTGAATATTGTTGTATCTGAACCTGTTATATAGAATACACCGCATAATACATTTCCTACTTTTGATACTAGTAGTACCAAATGTATGATAACTTCTTTGTTTTTATGTTAGAAAAAGCCCGCTGGTTTCGCTTGTACACCATTTCTTACATAGATGAGACAACCTCCCGCAGTAATTCCATCTCGCTCACGTCTAATGCTTGAAGAATTATGGATTAGAATGTCGCTGTCGGTGATTTTATCGTTTAACCGGGATTCAATTATGGCGAGAAAAAGAGAATGTCCATTATTGACTAACATTTGAACTAAGTCAGGTCCAGTTATACGAGTCTATGATCAGTGTATGCGCAAATACTAGATATGTTGACAACGAAGGCACATCCTACACCACTAAACCTGACTAGCCATTTGGCAATAAGAAAGCAAGTATTGCACGAGAACCGTTGACAAAGCTCAATCATGATAAAGACGACGGTCTGTTTAGAGATGTTAGAAAGAGGATGAAAATTGATCGAAATTAAACTAGTCAAAGAAATAAACAAGTTTTTTAGTTGACCATAGCTCCTAGTATATAGATAACAGAAAGAAATAACCTAATAATGGATTAGCTGCCCGAGCGATTTTATTATAATGGTTGTTGTTTTGAAGAATTATTGGTTACAAAGATTGTCAGTAGAAGCTGATATACAGTCTGAAGTATCTTTGATAAAAGTTTCAGCTCGATTGGACCATTTTTTCGAGAGTTTGTAATGTAACTATCCACAATAGAACTATGTGCCAAATCGCGTTCAATACTCATAGATAATTATCCATTGATAAAATTTTCGTAGCTGGTTCTATTTTCAGTAGAATCTTTTTTACGCATGAATAAGCACTGGATGTTGCCAGTGGAAAGAATTAAGTTAGCGTTAGACACAGAGGCATTGTTGGTACCAAATATCTGAATCGAATTAGTGCCATGAGTAGCTTATGACCACATGAGTTTGTGATAAAAAATTGACGGTTTAGTTTTGCTACGCTAATGTTTTTTTATCGTTTATCTAGCCTTGGAGAAAATTAAATTTTGCATCTATTGACATCAGAAAGATTACCTTACAAATTTTGTTGAAGCTAAACGAATTGAATTTTTGTACGAAAACCTGAGCTAAATTCGTTTTTGAGTTTTTTAAGCTAGCAGATAATATGTTACAAGAGTGACTTTTTTAATTTCAGTAGTTTTGTGTTTTTAGGTGTTAATTTAGTGTTATTTTAAAAAATAATTATAAATGGTTCATTTACTTTTATAAAATAAATATAAGTTTTTTTTCATTTAGTTATGTTTATTTCATAGAAGTAAATGAACTATTTATAATTATTTTTTAAAATAACACTAAATTAACACCCCTAGTTTTGATGCTGTAGAGCTCTTCGTAAACTGAATGCTATTTGATGAAAAAATATCGTAGAGAGCTCGCGGACGTCTCATTTTTCTCAGAAATGTTTGTTCCATACGATAGAATTGTTTGCAAATGTTTCTGATTCGAAAAAAGTACAGTTTTAACAGGCAAAGATGGTTTTACAAAGGTTTGACAATAATATTATAATAATTTTTGCCCCAGATTTTGACAATGGTTCCTGATCAATCGAACCTTACTCTATATATATATTGATATTCTTTGACTTTTTTATGTTTCTTATAAAACTAAGTATAATTAATATAATTGAAAAACATTTTTGTAAAATCATTTTACAAAAATATTTTTCAATTATATTAATTATACTTACTCTATATATCCTGGAAATTAACTCAGTACCGCGTCGGGCAAAAATGGTTCAAACATTTTGCCAATAAAAGTCAATTTTTGTCTGGACTGTTAAATATTATTTGAAGAAACTTTTAGAGTAACTACATCATCTAAAGATACATTTATCTTGAAAATTTCATTGAGAAATATAACACACCGTTTCGGAGATATCTTAATTCTGATGGATTTTCCATGTAAAAACATAGCGACATCTGTATCTCAGGAAGGAAACGTTTTTAAAAAGCTTTATTTTTCTCTTTTTCCAGTTTCATATAGGTCTACATCCCGTAAAAATTTCAGGCGAACTAGAGAGATCCACGGCTGTCACATGCCCGAAATTGCCTGATTTTCTCAGAAACTGGCTCTTAAACCCAAATGTAAGCATAAGACAAAGTGATCTCTTTATTCTGAAGTATCTGTAAGGGTATCTATTGTGTCATTATCAATAATTTTTCTTTAACAACATAGTGTGTTTTGTGAATATCGATAAATAGTACGTTGATAACTAATAATGCAGCTGTGTAGAATTTCATTTTTTTTTAACTTTGTTTGTTAAGAATCAAATATTTCGACCTTACGGTCATTATCGATGATAGAAAACTGGATTGCATACATTTCCTTTTTTAAAAAAGGAAATGTATACAGTGCAGTTCTTGTCTTGTTCTGTCAAGTAAAATGAAAATGTTTGTCTGTGTCTATCGATAGTTCTGTTACTTTCATTCTTGTGTACAGTTTTCTATCATTGGCAATGATCGTAAGGTCAAAATATTTGATTCTTAACAAATAATGTTAAAAAAAATGAAATTCTACACAGCTGCATTATTAGTTATTAAATTATTGAAAAAATCGTTGCCTACATTTATTTATATTGTTACACGAATAGTACGTTTTGGCCTATAATTAATATTCCACACTGCTAGGAGTTATACACCTTCACTTAATAGTACAAACTCAATGCATTTAGTAGCATCTTGTGTTCCATTTATTTCTGTTTGATTTAATATCCTCCACAAAGTACCGAAAATTGTAATCTTTTCGTTTTGCTCTTAGTTGCTTAGTGTATCGGTTTGTTGATGAAGTTTAATAATGAAACAATGAAAGTTAAATTAATGCAGTATATACTACTGTATACTGCAGTATATACTATGGAATAGAGCAAATGTAAAATCGTTATTTATATCACCGATTTATATGCAGGTACATCATCTACGCGAAAGTAATAAGAAGAAAAAAGAAACAAGAAACAAAAAGAAACATTCTTGTTTACTTTTGATAACGCGAAGCAATTTTTCTCTGCAATATTTGCTTTGTTTATATATATAACGAAATGTACATCAAATTACTCAATCTTAACGAATTGACATGATGACTTTTATTCTTCATAAGATTAATGTCATACCTATTGATCTGTTTCATCGATCACCTTCTAACTACATATCTCTTCTTTTCTACAGTTCATCACCTCTTGTCTCGCTTCACTGCTTCTTTAGCATTTTCACTGTACATTTTCCCCGAACTCTCTCTTTCTGGTTACGGTTCACTTCTTCTACTCACTTTAAAGTGTGTACAGTTAGATCATAACGGATTGGTGTTAGAAATAAACTCGAGAAGGGTCAATTCCCTATAGGCAGAGCAGTCAAAAGTTACAGTTCCTGCTTGTCTGATATTATCATACATGATTTATAGTATGTCAGGATTGAAAAACATCAGACTGTATAGTTGTCAAACAAGGCACCGTTCTTCTGCACTCGCCTGGTCCCTTGACTTTGGGAACTTATATCTGCGCACGACCTTTTGTGATTTTGAATCTGAGACAAGGCTCACACCTCCCTGTGATCGGCGTTCGCTAGGGAACTATGTACAATATGTTATCAATGTTTCTCTGATGTGATGTGTAAGCTTCGTAATATACCATAAATCTAAAAGGTTTTCTTCAGATCCTCCAGGGATCTTCAGTGGTCTAAAAATATTTCTGAACTCAACGTAACGATCACGCCTCCCTTCGGTCGGCGCTCGTAGCCAGAATAGGCGAGAAATATTGTGAACTACTCTGATTGAGTTGAGAAAGCGCACAATAAAAATGAAATATAAAGCTAAACAGCTTTCCGGACACCCTCTAAAAATCCCAAGGGCGCTGGTGGCATTCTAATTAATTCACCATGATGGACCATCTATCTATATTCTGTAAGTTTTATTATCTATAGATGACTTTTTCTGTTATCAAAATTGACTGATTTCCGACGACATCTGTCTCCGAACTACAGAAAAGGTTCGCTTAGCTTTTTTCTGCCTGCATTAGTAGATATCTCAGCCATCTCTTTGAATATTATCTCTCTCGCAGTTAAAGCGAATTTTCTACTTTTCTCCCTTGTGATTGGCTTGTCCATGGAATATCTGATAGCCATTGTTCCGTATTTTGCGCTCACACACGGACACACCGACAGAGGGTAATGGGAAAATGCATACTTTTTTTTGCATACTGCATACGCATATGATTGGTTACAGAAAAAAGTGGAATTCTGCTGGTAAACACAGGAATGATGAACAGAAATGAGTCAGCCGAGGCATTAATCTGTCAAAACAAACAGGAATGATGGACGAAAATGAGTCAGCCGAGGCAATAATCTGTCAAAAGGAAAAGTCCGATGGGATCATAAGGGCTAAACACAAGAAGAAAACATTGTTGATCTCATAATTTAACAGATATTGAAAGATCCATTTGGAAAACTCTGCGTCTTTTGAAGCTCTTCGGTGAAGCTGCTCGTTTAGATGTACCAAATTTAGAAGTGAAACCTTTCTGTAAATATCATTTCACTTTAGTTTTTCTTTTATGCCTTCAGATATGAAAGAACTGATAAAGCAATGCTGAACAGTCGATTAAAAAGAATAATAATAATAATTAATAATTAATAATTAATAATAATTAATAATTAATAAATAATAATAATTAATAATTAATAAATAATAATAATTTTGTGTATTGTATTCAAGAGAAAAAGTTCACACAATGAGTATGTGTATTTTTATTGGATAGCTAAGAAGAAACTTTTGCTCGGGTTTCTGTCTAAGCAAAAACAAACGTCTTTCATTTCTCTAGGCACTATCATCGTCGATTTAGAAAAGCCTAAGTTATCTGAATTAATAGCAACATTAGAATCTGCACCTAAGTTAGAGAAATTGCCCAACGAAATTCAAAGTAATAGTGTTTATAGATTAAGTTATAATACAAATACGAAAGGTAAAACATCAAAAACCTTTTAAGAATTGTTTATTGAGTCTGTGGCTATTAGTAATATTCACTGAAAGTGATATTCGAAATGTTTCTCTTTATTTTTTACTTTTAGACGATTGGAAGTGTGACGGGTATTGCTGGCGGAACTATGGTACTAGACCTTTTCCTAAAACTGAAAGTCAGTTTTTAAAATCGTACTTTAAATGTTCAACTAATAGTAAAGACTGTTTTCTCAAACAAGTTTACATCTCAATCGTTAATCCTTTTGACGTGATAGTAATATATCGTGGTGAGCGTTTGCTTACACAAATATTTTATTAAAGACTTTCAGTTCTGGTTGAATTCCTAACTATTTTTAGGAGACAAAAACAATGCTGTGTTACGTCCACATGGTAACATAAAAAGTCCTGAAATTACTAGTACATTTCGTCGAACTCTTCCTTCAACTTTATTAAGAATAAAAGAAGCTGTACAAAATGACACGGGGACAAAAGTTTATAAATCAATGGTCTCTTTATCAGAATCAGGGGACAACTTACCAAGAAATGTGGATCAACTGAATTGTCATCGGAAGCAATTTCTGAAAAAACAACGTCCAACAAACGATGAAATATTCAACACAATTCTTCTCTCTTATGAAATCACTGATTACATACGAATTTGTGCATTTCCAAATGTTACAATTGTTCTTATTCATCAAGATGCAGAAAATTCATTTCAATTTCTATTAGATACAGCAACGGATTATATTCCATTATATTACGATACAACATTTAAGATAGGGCAATTTTATTTATCTGTAAGAGAGAAATGCTTCTTTTCTTAGATACGACTTAGATTTTTCTCTCGCAATTATCAACAGCCCTTTGCGAAGCTACTTCGCAAAGAGATTTTCTTTTCTCATAAGATGATTACTTATTCTGCTGTTATTTTCTTGACGAAGTAGATTTTCTGTTTTTTACTTTTTTCATTTAGATTCTCTCGTATGTACACACTGCATTTGAAGAAAAGCCTGTTATTCCACTTGCCATGCTCATTCATGAGTACAAAGATTATGAAGCTCACATTCAATTGACTGAGACATTGAAAAAATTAACCAAAGTTTCCAGCAAATGTGTAAGTGTTTATTTGGATTCTTTGCAGACTGTAACCTTTCAATAACGTACAGAAAATATTTTCTTTCTAACAGGTTCTAGTGTGTGATCATGAACTCGCCTTCAAAAATGCATTTTCTCACACTTTCAAGAAACTGCAACACGTTCGATGTCATAATCATTACATCGAGGTAAGATTTTCACCCTAGAGTAGCTTCAAAGCCTTTGTTTTTCTGTTCTTATTCTGTTTCTTTTAGGACGTGAAAAAATGGTTGAAAGCTGACTTCAAAAAGATTTATGATCCAGAAAAACGTGGTGTATCGAACGCAAATGAAAATGAGTCACCAGCACAACCACTCAGTGAATATGAAAAAATGCAAAGAGCACGTAATGAATATATGGACAGACATTTAAATAGTTTGAACCAAATTTTATCTTGTGATACAAAAGAACAGTTTTTATTAGGTAAGACTGCGCTTATTCTTGCTGAACTAATTCATATTATGGTATTGTTTCTCAATTTCAGCTTATGAACAAGTCAAATCCACTTGGTCAAATTCATTTCGAACTTATTTTCAACGAAATCATTTAATACATGTGGATGAGTTAGGTAAGGTCAACACTAGTTTTTCATAGTTGCTGAGTAAAATTTATTTGTTATTATTACAGGAAAGTGGCATGCTCGTACGTTTGGCCTCTGGGACGAAATGAACTGCTCACCACCTACTGCAAATCCAGCTGAAAGTATGAATGCCACAGTGAAGAAATGGCTTTAATGGAAAGAAGTATGTTACAACATTCAAAGAAAGAGGTACTTATCACCACTAGTTTTTTGAGTTATTTTCAGGTATCGATCGACAGATTTATAACGTTATCGTATAGCTTCATGGGATTCTATGTCAACGAGATTCGTCGAGGTTATTGTGGTTTAGGTAAGTTTGAAGCTAATTAACATGTTAACACTGCATTTCTCGTGGTCTTACCTTTTAGGGTCGTATCGTTTAAAAACTGGTTATCGTCAATTTTCAAGTGATTCTGGT